TGATGAGGTCTTGGCCACGGCTCAAATAATTGAGCAAGATATGGAGGAGCAAAGAATGGAGACTCATGACTCAAAAGGCAAGGGAAAGGCTATCAACACCTAACCTTTCAACAAGAAGGGTGAACAAAGGGGAAAAAGGAAGATCCCCGAAAGCAACAGACCAAGTTTTGATTTTTGTAAGAGGTGCGGTAAGAACCATGGGGGAAAAGAATGTTATTGGCAGACTGGGGCATGTTTCAAATGTGGGAAGATTGACCACTTGATCAAGGATTGCCCGGTTCTCAAGGGAGCAAGTCAGCAGCCAAAGGATCAAGAAAATAAGAAGCCCAAGGTTCAAGGAAAAGTTTTTGCCATCACAAAACAACAAGCTCAAAACACTCCTATAGTTATAAAAGGTAAAATACCTATCTCTTTTAGGAATGCCTATGTGTTTATTGACTCTGGATCTACCCACTCATTTGTGTCACCTAAGTATGTGTCATCTTTGCATGTGGAGCCTGAGACCCTTGATTGTGTGCTTGTGGTGAATACTCCTTCTAAGGAGGTTTTAACATCAAAAACCATTTATAGATCTTGTAGAGTTATGGTAGAGGGTAGAGTTTTGCTTGCCGATCTGATTTTGTTAGGTATAGTGGAATTTGATGTCATACTTGGTATGGATTGGTTGTCTACCCATTATGCCATGGTTGATTGTTATGAGAAGGTGGTTACTTTCTCCGCTCCTAACCAGCCTGTGATTCGATTTGAAGGAGAAAAAGTTGGATCATTTCCATTACTTGTTTCTTGCATGCAAGCTGATAAAATGTTGCAGCATGAGTGTTATGGATATCTGGCATATGTTTTTGAATCTAAAGACAAGCTGGTGTCTGTAGAAGGAATTTGGGCAGTGGAAGACTTTCCTGATGTTTTCCCTAAGGAGTTGCCTGGGCTACCTCCAAATAGGGAGATTGAGTTTATTATAGATCTTGTGCCTGGTACTGCACCAATATCCCAGCAACCTTATGGAATGGCCCGGGCAGAATTAATTGAATTGAAAAAGCAGTTGCAAGAGCTTCTTGATAAGGGGTTCATTAGACTCAGTACTTCTCCCTGGGGTGCTCCGGTTCTTTTTGTGAAAAAGAAAGATGGCTCACTTAGATTGTGCATTGACTATAGACGATTGAATCAAGTCACCGTAAAGAATAAATATCCTTTGCCAAGGATTGATGATTTGTTTGATCAGTTACAAGGGGCTCGTATCTTTTCCAAAATTGATCTTAGATCGGGTTATTATCAACTAAAGGTTAAACCTGAGGATGTGATGAAGACTACTTTTAGGAGCAAATATGGGCACTACGAGTTCCTGGTAATGCCGTTTGGTTTAACCAATGCCCCTACAGCTTTTATGAATCTTATGAATAGAATCTTTCAGCTGTACTTAGATAAGTTTGTCATTGTCTTCATTGATGACATTCTTATCTTTTCTCCTGATGAAGAGAGCCACAAGGAGCATCTGGTCATTGTATTGCAGATTTTGCGAGAAAAGAAGTTATATGCCAAGTTTGATAAGTGTGAGTTTTGGCTGAATCGGATTAGTTTTCTGGGTCATATTGTCTCGAAGGACCGCATATCAGTTGATCCTAGTAAAGTGGAAGCAGTTGTGAAGTGGGAAAGGTCGACTAGTGTCACCGAAGTGCGGAGTTTTCTTGGACTAGCAAGATATTATAGAAGGTTTGTGGAGGGATATTCAAAGATTTCTGGTCCGTTAACACAACTTACTCGTAAGAATCAGAAGTTTGAATGGATAGATAAATGTGAGCAAAGCTTTCAAGAGTTGAAGAACAGATTGGTCACTGCACCAATTCTTGATATTCCCGATAATGGAGGAAACTTTGTGGTATATACTGATGCTTCTCACAAAGGATTGGGTTATGTACTTATGCAACATGGACGGGTGATGGCTTATGGGTCTAGACAGCTTAAGACACATGAGAGGAATTACCCTACACATGATTTAGAACTTGCTGCCATAATTTTTGCACTTAAGTTATGGAGGCACTATTTGTATGGAGAAGAGTTTGAGGTGCACACTGATCACCAAAGCTTGAAATATTTATTTTCACAAAAAGAGCTTAATTTGAGACAAAGAAGATGGATGGAGTATCTAAATGACTATAGATGCAAAATTGTCTATCAACTTGGAAAGGGAAATGTGGTTGCAGATGCACTTAGCAGAAAATCAACTGGCATTTTAACAAGCTTAATGGTGATGGAGTGGAAACTCCTAGAAGAATTCAAGAATTTGAATGTCAGGTTTTTGCCACCAAAGTCTGATGTACTAGTGTCTAGTTTGATGGTTCAACCTACATTGTTGTCAAAGATCAAGGAAGCACAACAGAAAGATTCAAGATTGATGGAGTGGATGAAGGATAGTGGAAAAAGCTTCAAAATGGGTCTTTATATTTCGGATGATGGAATCATAAGACTTGGAGATAGAATTTGTGTTCCATATGATGAAGGGTTGAGGATGGAATTGCTCCAAGAAGCACACAAGTCCAATTATACCATTCATCCTGGGAGTACCAAAATGTATCATGACTTAAAAGAGACATTTTGGTGGAAAAGCATGAAAAAGGATGTGGCTAAATATGTGTCCAAATGCTTGACTTGTCAAGTGGTAAAAGCAGAGCACCAAAAGCCAGGAGGGCAACTTCAACCTTTGCCTATACCGGAGTGGAAGTGGGAAGTCATCTCAATGGACTTCATTGTGGGATTGTCGAAAACGAGAAGGCAATTTGATGCAATTTGGGTGATTGTGGACAGATTAACAAAGTCAGCTCACTTTTTGGCCATAAAACAAAAAGACCCATTAGACAAGTTGGCCAAGCTTTATGTTCAGGAGATTGTTAAACTCCATGGGGTCCCAGTGAGCATTGTATCAGACCGAGATCCAAGGTTTACTGCAAGATTTTGGAGATCTTTCCAGAAAGCCATGGGAACTCAATTGAAATTAAGCACAGCATACCACCCACAAACCGATGGGCAGTCTGAGAGGACTATTCAAGTGCTCAAAGACATGCTAAGCGCTTGTGCGTTAGATTTGCTTGAGAGTTGGGATGATCATCTTCCCTTGGTAGAGTTTGCTTATAATAATAGCTATCATTCTAGTATCAAAATGGCACCTTATGAGGCTCTTTATGGCAGGAGATGTAGAACTCCAATTTGTTGGGCAAAAGTTGGCTATGGAAGAGTAATGGGGCCTGATTTTGTGCAATAAACAACAGAAAAGGTGAAATTAAGTCAGGAGAGGCTTAAAGTGGCTCAAGACAAACAAAAGAGTTATGCAGACAATAGAAGGAGACCTCTAGAATTTGAAGTTGGAGATCATGCATTTTTGAAGCTGTCACCAACTAAGGGAGTGTATCGATTTGGTTTGAAAGGAAAACTCAGTCCGAGGTACATTGGCCCGTTTGAGATTCTTGAAATGGTAGGTGAAGTGGCTTATAGAATTGCATTACCTCCAGAATTGTCAAATGTGCATAATGTATTTCATGTGTCGGTTTTGAGGAAGTATGAGTCGAATCCTTCACATGTCATAAACTACGAACCATTAGAGTTGAAGGAAGATTTGAGTTACACCAAACAGCCAATACAGATTTTGGATAGGAAAGAAAAAGTTTTGAGGAACAAGACTGTGTCTTTAGTGAAAGTGTTGTGGCAGCATCATTTTGAGAATGAAGCTACATGGGAACTTGAAAGTCAGATGAGGGGGCAGTATCCAAATCTATTTTGGTAAGCTAAATGATTTGGTGGGCCAAATCCTTTTAAGGTGGGAAGGATGTAACACCCCACATACCTTAGTGAATAATTTAAAAATTAGTGTCCTTTAGTTTATAGTT